TGTCCTTGGCTTCTTACTCTAACCAGAACCAAGGGTGCCATCACTGTCCTTTGCTTCTTACTCTAACCTGAACCAAGAGTACCATCACTGTCCTTGGCTTCTTACTCTAACCAGAACCAAGGGTGCCATCACTGTCCTTTGCTTCTTACTCTAACCTGAACCAAGAGTACCATCACTGTCCTTGGCTTCTTACTCTAACCAGAACCAAGGGTGCCATCACTGTCCTTTGCTTCTTACTCTAACCTGAACCAAGAGTGCCATCACTGTTCTTTGCTTCTTACTCTAACTTGAACCAAAAGTGCCATCACTGTTCTTTGCTTCTTACTCTAACCTGAACCAAGAGTGCCATCACTGTTCTTTGCTTCTTACTCTAGCCTGAACCAAGCGTGCCATCGCTGTCCTTTGCTTCTTACTCCAACCTGAACCAAGAGTACCATCATTGTCCTTTGCTTCTTACTCTAACCTGAACCAAGAGTACCATCACTGTCCTTCGCTTCTTACTCTAACCTCAACCAAGAGTGCCATCACTGTCTTTTGCTTCTTACTCTAACCTGAACCAAGAGTGCCATGATTGTCCTTTGCTTCTTACTCTAACCTCAACCAAGAGTGCCATGATTGTCCTTTGCTTCTTATTGCATTATGAACTCAAAAGTTTTATCATTACCATTCTCTACTTACTCCATTCTGAAGCAATAGTGTCATCATTACCAGTCTCTACTTACTCCATTCTGAACCAATAGTGTCATCATTACCATTCTCTACTTACTCCATTCTGAACCAATAGTGTCATCATTACCAGTCTCTACTTACTCCATTCTGAACCAATATTGTCATCATTACCAGTCTCTACTTACTCCATTCTGAACCAATAGTGTCATCATTACTATTCTCTACTTACGCCATTCTGAACCAATAGTGTCCAGAGACTGGTAATGATGACTGGTAATGATGACACTATTGGTTCAGAATGGAGTAAGTTCTACTTACTCCATTCTGAACCGTCTCTACTTACTCCATTCTGAAGCAAAAGTGTCATCATTACCATTCTCTACTTACTCCATTCAGAACGAAGATTGTCATCATTACCAGTCTCAACTTACTCCATTCTGAACGAAGATTGTCATCATTTTCCTTTGTTATTTGTTCCTTTCCGAACTAAGAGTGCTATCATTACCAATCGATGCGTATTTATTTCTGAGATAGTAATCTCCAACGGATGTTGTTTTTGTTCTCTTTTAATCCGTACATGATATTTTCGCGCAATAGTTTGGGGTAAAAATATTCATACAACCTTTGCACTTAGAAATTTACTAGTTTTTTTGTTTTTGTTTTTGACGAAACTGTATGACATGCGTTAATTCTTCTAAGGACCGTTTATCAGAAACTTTGTGTTAATGAAAATGATTATGAAAACAACATAGAACACTGACTTTTCCTAAGCTAAACATGTTTTATTAATATTCATGGCCTCCCTCCAGTGACTCAGCGGTAAGATAAAGTTAAGAATTCGATAAAAAAAAACAAAAAAACAAATGAGATATGTGCGACGTCATAGTTATAATTATTCAGTGCAGTAGAGTTCATAAGGTCATGTATATATATATATATATATATACATACAGGGTGTCCATAAAGTCTTTTTTACAATTTAAAAAAAATTATTACAAAGACAATTGTTAAGATATCTTTATCAGACTTGGGGATAACTTTGTTACAAATGTAAAATACCAAAATAAATAACTATGGAAATAGTTGAAGTCAGTTTGGCTTGAAAAAAACAAAAACCGAATGTTGCAGTTTATTTACGGCTTTCATTAAGAAAAAAATATTTAATTATTTAAACTGAGCTACAACATAATGATGAAGCGATCTGAAACTGAAAAGGTTGACAGGAATCTATCAGCAGGTGATATTTGATAACAATCAGATTACACCACTCGATAACACGCCTTTAAAAAAAAATAAAGAAAATATTATTCAAACTTAAAACTAAAGCGCAATAAGTTCAAACTACACTTTATACAAAACAAAGGGTGTGGTTAAAAGTCGGATGTAGCCGGAGGTAGCTTTTAAAATGTCTTCAGACAAACGAGATGCTTCTTTCATCTACCTACGGATTCTCCGTGTAGTTGTGCAAGTATTTTTAGCAAAGTTTTGTCGAAAACTGTCCCCTAGCTAGCTTTTAAAATGTCTTCAGACAAACAAAATGCCTTTATCTTATACCTACTGACCCTCTGCGTAGCGGCGCAAGTATTTTCCTCCAATGTAAGTCGACAATTGTCTCCTGGGCTTGAGTTTGGGCTCCGCGAGGTGTTGGAGGTAGACGGAGGTAGCTTGTAAAATCTCCGAATTACCTTTTTCGTGTACCTACGGACTCTCTTCGTAGCGGCTCACGTATTTTCAGCAAATTTAGGTCGAAAACTGTCCCCTAGATCGAGTTTGGAGGTAGTTGGAGGTAGTTTTTTTTTCGGGGCTGGAACTCAACCCAGGGGACAATTTTCGACCCAAGTTGGCGGAAAATACTGGCGCCACTACGCGGAGAGTCCGTGGGTACTCGATAAATGCATTTCATTAGTCTGAAGACATTTTAAAAGCTACCTTCGACTTTTACCAATTGCTCAAAACAAACATTTGTTTTAATTAGAATCCAAACAGTTGCTTCAAAAAAGTTGCAAGAGATGGCGCTGCAATGTTGTGTAAGAAATGCACAAAAAGATCATACCTAAAACTATAAAGATGTATTACCCATTCTCATTAAATATTTATTTGGATACCATGGTGCACTGGCTGATGCGCAGAGTTTATAAATGCCATAAGTTACCATAGACAGACAGTTAAAGTCAAGGTTCGTAGAGAAAAGAAGCATTAGTGGCGCGAGTATTCTCGACATTTTCATCTTTTATCATATTCTGAACAATTCTGCACTATCTACATTGAATTCAATGGGAAACGGTTTACCTTTCTCAGATTGATGATACACTATGCAATACCGTATATTGTATCCAGTAGCAGTTTCAGATAAACAACATTAAGAATTTACCTTAATCATCTCAAACTCCTGTTTTTGATTTCAAATTGGACTGCTTTGAAGGATAGAAAGAACAGGCTCTCGAAATATCACAACACGTGTAGAAGTAATGCTAAAAGATTGGCGTTCTACCCCATTAAATGTGAACCCAAGGTTGGTGGTTAATTTGTTTTTTTGTTTGCTATCTGTGGTGTGGCAACAACGGGTATTGAAACCCGGTTTATAGCATTACAAGCCCTCAGACTTACCGCTGAGAGTCCAGACTGAGATGTGATTAAAGCCAAACATGGGTCCATTATATTCCAAATTAGAACTCCAGCGGCGAAACAGAACACCCCAGAGCTA